CAACGGAATTTTCATTTCTCACTACCCGAATCTTGTAATTCTAACTAAAATCGCGACGTTGTGCTTCAAATTATTATTATTATTATTATTATTATTATTATTATTATTATTATTATTATTATTTATTATTATTTTCTTAGTATTATAATAAATAATAATAATATTTAAATATTTGTTTTGTATCCTGCGCATTATAGATTTTAGTGATAAATCTTGACAGATGTGTATTTTGATTGTCGTATGAAGTCCTCTTAATAAAAACTTTGGATCAATACATTTCATTCCAAATATGATGTCATTTTGAAACGTTTTAAGTACGAACACTTACAGTCATCTTCGGTGACGTGGCTCATAGCTCGAATCCAGTAGCGTAACGAAATGCGTGCGGGCTCGCCCTCAAACCTTTTATCCGGCCCCCCTTTATAAAATTAAACACAAGCAGTGTTAGTACCTTAAATAATAAAAATATCCCTTAAAAATGAGTCCGAATTGCGGGCCCGAGTGTTACGCCACTGCTCGAATCCGCTTTGAAGAATCCAAAACAAGTCCATTGAAGTTTAATTTCTTGGAACGTGTTCCTGGTTTGGGAGTAGAATTTTCGTGAGAATCACTGCTAGCCATTTGATAATATTTTTTCTTTTCACTAACACTGTTTTGAAACAAAGATATAGCTCAACTAACAGCGTGTTGTACACAAGGAGAAATTAAAACAATCAAACAATGTTTCAAAATTCCAAAACGCAGTAATCTCCCAAGGAACTCCAATGAAGATGTAAGCAAAGTGGATTTTGATCATTTTCCCCCCAGAGGTACAATGTGACTGATCGTTCTTCCAAAAAGGATAAAATCTTCACACCTGAATTTGATGGACACTTTTCACTTTTCCACCGTGCATTGTTCACATGTTCATGCGCTTACGCATTGTACGGCAAGATGGCACTGCAATCTAAAAACAACCCAGAGATGGAGATGTACTAGATCGTTTTCCCCGTATATTGGGAAGCGGGGGTGATGGGTGTCACGGAGTAATGGGAGACTATGAGAAATTATCGATAAATATTGTAAACAAACCATATTGAACGGCAGAAACATATGCTTCTACCAAGCATTAGTCACGATACTATAGCCAGTTGATCGCTGCAGCCAAAGAAAGCTTACATCGACGATTATCGCGTTCGTACCAGAAAAGTGAGTTGTTATTACTCGCGCAACTTTTCTTGAACCTTGCTTCTCCCCTCTCTGGCACAATAAACAGATAAAGGCAAAAGCTCGCAGCGAGCACTGATGACAACATTCCAAATACACCTTCGCTGGCGCGAAGTATAAACAATTTTCTTTTGAAGACGATAACTTCTATCGGTTATTTTCTCCAAAAATCTAAAGAAATGATCGAAGTAGGTACGGATCTACCACAGGAGTCACCTCGAACTCCTGATAAAGTTAGAACGCAAATTATTGAGAACGTTACGAAGGAATGACTGATTCTCCAGAGATTGGCATTGCTTCATAAAATCTAGTGGCTGTTTACGTAAATAATACCCCCACAGAGAGTATACCCCGCCTCTAGCCGCATATCTTCAATCCATCGTTCAAGAAAAGTTGCGCGAGTAATAGAAAGTGCTGTAAGAAAATATGATCTTACGTGAACTTTGAGATTTCTGAAAAAATAAAAAAATTGTTGGAAGGGAATTACTTCAGCAAATCATTTGATACCAAATTTAAACATTCTATAAAATTTTATGAATAATTAATGATAAAAATGTACTTGTGGAGTAATTGATCAGTGATTCTCATTATCGCAGCGTGACTGCCGTTTCCCCAAACCAAATAATTTATTGATCTGAATGAGTTTAAATAGTCCTCTGGGACTAAGTACACGCTTAGCAAGAATGGATGGACGGATTAAGAATTCATCTAATGGCTCAAACACTTTAAAAGCCTTACTTGTCCAACTGCCCAGGACCCAGAGCAGCTGATCTTGGGCAACCTTGGGAAACAGATCACTACCATTGTAAACAAAATAAATACTGTTTGAAGTACTAATGTAATCATATTGCTTCATATTTCTTTGACTCCCGTTACCCACATCGTGCCAAAATGAACATTCGGAAATTCGACATTGGAGAGAGTTTTAATGAATATTTTAAATGTTTGTGGTGAAATCACAAGCTTAACTAATGTGTGATATACGAATACTTATTCTTACGGACAATTCGCACTGATTTATATCGAAAAAACAAAAAGTGACCCTCATTACCTTCGCTTCCCCTACCCTTCATTATACGTACACACATTTGGAGCCGTTCATAAATTTAACGCTAAAGAGAGGGAGGGGGTCTGAGGAAGTGTTATACTGCGTAACGTAGGGATACGGGGGTACGAGTTAAGTGTTACGTAACACTGATATGCATTTTGTTTTACAGTTTTCAACATTTGCTGAAATAATTCTTTTTTTGAGTCCTGTACTTTAAACATTCAAATATTTACTAATTATTTTTTTACATACATAAATGACAGTTATTACTTGTAAATTGTTAAAATGAATGGAACAATTTTTCATAATTTTTTATTGAATCTGTAAGAATCGTAAGAGAATATTCAAAACTGATGTGTAGGTATTCTAGAATCTATTATAATTGACGCTCATGCGTCATTCACATCGGCGTGACCTAGGTTTTCGTTCGAAAACGCCCATGCATTTTTCCTTCACTCGCAACTACCAATAACTTCACTCTTTATTGTAAGGTCCTGGCAGCATCACCAACTAATTTGTACTTTATCATTAATTTTAATATAAGTTACAACTCAAGCAAAATAAATACAGGGGGAGGATGCTGTCGCAAGCGTTATGTTATTATTTAAGCCCGCGTTACGGGTGCGTTACAGGGGGAGAGGGGGTATTGAAAATGCTCCAAATTTTCGTTACGAAATGTGGGACGCCTTTTATATGCGTACTAGTTTCCACATTCACGTTACAATTTATGCTGCAAAAAATGTTTGGTTAGTAGGCCTCCCTATGTTGGAGAAAGGGAAAATTGAGTACATGTGCACAATAAAATTTTATATTGAAACGAATTAAAATTAAAAATATTTGTATTAATATATAATCCTCTCTACACATAAAAAGCCAAGTATTAGTATAATGCGACCAGTCCACCTCTTCACCTCACCCCACCCAATCCCTTCCCATCCCGATCCTACCCCTTCCCTCTTAATAAAACAACCTCTCTCCGTCTCCATAGATAAAGTAACCCCTCTGCCAACAACCCAGACTCCCGATCCCCGTCCTGTACGGGGGGAAAGTATGTGTTCTGAAAAACAAATATTATAGAATAAATAATGACAATTAAACATTAGCTTGACGGCCTACACGGCCTCTTAAATAGCTCACAATAATCTTAATACTTTAAAGAGTTATGGAACATAACCTATATATAAGCTAAGGCAATAAGACGATTTTGTACAATTTTTAAGACTATCCACACAAAACCCAGTAAGCGTGCTTCTTAGGGTTGCCCCACTTTCCATATGAGGATTGTCCTGACTTTATTGCAAATGCCTTGTGCCCCTACACGTCTTCGTTGGACCATGTTATCCTGACTCTTCTGCTTGTATTATGAGTAACCATGCTTTTCTGCATTTTATTATAGAGTCCTCTTAAGCTTGTAGCATACTGAATAACAGGTAATAATCTGTAGATCTTTTAAAATGATAATTATGAAATTTATTGAAAACCCCTTGTAATAAAATATAATCATTCCCAATTAATATTACTAAAGTAAATATTTTTAGAGAAAAGTGTTATAAACTTCGTACTTGTTCATAGTTTCTTGTTAATTGAATAAAGATTATGTGATTTTTTAAAGATAATCTGTGTTTGAAGTGCCCCACCTATTGACTTCTGTAAGGTGGGAACCCTAGTGCTGCCGCTGAATATTAAATCCCCCTCCCCCCTCGCTCCACAAATGCATCAGACTTAGGATGATAAATTAAGAATTTAATACCATTGGGCAAAACTCAGAACACATTCCGTCCTACGCCCTTGAAACTCTGTAATGTTTATTACGCCTTAATCTACCCAAATTACACTTTATGAATAATTCTATTATATTGTTGAAGAGCACTCTCAAGCAATTTAAAAACAAATATGTTTCACAATTTAATAAGTGCAGAATGTTTATACAACTTATATACATACACTAATATTTAAACTCTAACACTCATGAAAACTGTAAAACTAAAATGTGTGCTAGAGAAGTCTAGATTTGACTGCCATTATTTGATAACAAATTGTTGAAAACCAATTTAGTATTGAGCCATGTTCGATATTGAATCTTGTGATTTCTGCAATTGCTTCACTTCTCCAAAATGCAAACAATGAAGAAGACTTTCACAGGATTAAAGAGGACACAGTACTTCTGTGGCACCTTTCTTGGCAGAGGAAATTTTCTTTACAAAGGATTTACAGATTTTGTGTTTTAAAAATAATTGTTGTTTATAGCAAATTTTAATACTTTTTTAAGAGATTGGTTTTCCTTGCCTGGGATACAAAATCCCATATGTATAGTATATAATTTGACAATTTGTTTGCGAGTCAAACAAAGAAATATGAATATATTTTTTAAAAAATGTATCATTCTCTAACTTTAGGCAGTAAAAACTGCTTTGAAAGAAAAATGGTATTTTAAATTCCTTATGGTTGAGCCTAGAGATAATCTTAAAGTTATCTGATCAAGTAGAAATGTTGAGTCTCATTTTTAACCCAATTGAAACTTTTGGGGTTTCCTTGAAATTGCAGTCATCAATTTTTATGACCATCAGGGATCACTAATTTGTACGATTTGTACTAAAAAATTATGGCACTCTAAATATCATATTCCACTGATCCAAGAGTAGCTATGTAATATTCTCTTCCTCAATACATAGTATAACAAGGCAAAATAATTGAAAAATTTCTTACATGATTTATCTAGAATCATCTTCTTTCATACACTCCAATCAAAAAGCATCCATCTTCATTTTGTAGTCAAGTGATTACCTGCTTTCTTCCAATATCTTCACTTCTGGCACCAAATCACATACCAAGTTTACCAGACCCTCAATACACACATGTAAAATCAACAGATTCAACTTACTGAATACAATTGTTTTGGGAAATCATATAGAGTCAGTTCCATCCCCATAGCAATATTTTTTATTAATCTTATTTATACACTACAAATATTGTTAAATACAGGTCGTTGGCCAGTTATTACCTCTTCTATGAGACATTGCACAGATAGTTTATCAAAGCATTCAAATACTTCATGTTGTTGTCAGTTTTATCAGGACAATGTTCTTCAAATAAACTTTTCACCTCATTTTTAAATATTTCACATTCACATTTATTTACTGAAGCTAACAAATGTAAAATACATTGAATGCTTTCAACTTGAACTTGTCAGGAAGCATGTCCTGGCCATCATAAAAAATCCATGTCAAAATGAATCCTCCTTTGCTTTAGTTCATCAATTATGGACCGGATTTCATTCTTAATTATTGCCAACATCAAACATACACATATAAAATTATAATTAAAAAAAAATAAAGTGGGAAAGAACTAATGAGTTGCACTATCGTATAATAGAAACTTTCAGTCCCTTATTTACAATTAGAAGTTTTTGCAATGTAAAATGGACAATATATAATGTACATAATTTCTTATCAGTCTGGAGGGAATGACTTAAAAATCAAGCTGAGTGCATCCGATCATGACTAGAACAGCAATGGACATGAAAGCAACCTACAATAAAGAAGGTTTCATTCATGTCAGTTAACAGGACAAATATTTCTAGAAATTTTTGCATCAGTATAAACAGTCAAACTTGGTATGTAATTCACTGCAGAGAGAAAATTTCACCTATTGTACTTTTTTCTTCTTCGCAACAATACTTGAAATGTTCATTCGTATTAATTTGCTTTAATATACTGACAGCAGCACCGCTAATCCACAAAAACAAAAAAGTCAAGATCAATGAAAAATGACAAATTAGTTGATATTTTTCCTCTCAGTTGTAGAAGTTCACACTTGGAAGTGCTATCTACCATTAGTATGCACTTGAGTAAAAACCTATGTCTAGCTCATTCTACAGAACATCATAGGTTTACTACATTATTAGGTTTTCCAAACCATTCCCACAAATATCCCAGAAAACATCTGATATAAGTATTATAATATAGAAATTTCTGTGGACTAAGTAACAAGTCTAGAGCTATATCTTTATTTATCTGAGCAAACAATCTCTTTTAGTAAAAAGAGCAACTTCAACTGAATGTTATAAATGTTTCAAATCTTTATAAATATTGCATTTTTTTGTAGAAATTGAAGTTCAATTCACTGCCAAGGTGAAATTTACCGCCATTCAACACCTACATTTAATTTTTGAAATTACACAATAAAAGTGCTAAGTTTAGTCTGAATTTGCACTAATCACAGCGGATAAAATAAAATAATTTTTTAATGGTGAGTATAAAAGATTAGATCAATTGGTTTGAAGGTTTGAAACACTCGCACAAATTAGGAAATACGACTACCATCCATAGACTTCTTTAAGTTTGAGATGGTAATCTAAGAGCCTGTCACTCACTCAATCAATAAATAGGATTGGGAATTGAAAGGTACAGTGAGGATTCTTAGCAAAAATATGCAAATTTGATTAATTACCATTATATGTATATCAAATGAAACTTTTGCTAAATGACAACAAAAACGTTTTTTCCAAATATTTCATTAAGTACAATAGTTACATATCTGCTTAATTGCTCGCTTGAAAATGCTGAATAGTTTCATGCCTATTCTGCTGACCCAACTTGTACAAAATAATCACAGCATTTGGAATGTACAGATAGTGAAGTACTCAGTTCCTGATTTCATTGCAAATACAGTAAAACCAGAATGCAATAAAGCAGCAAACAATTGAAAATTAGTATCCACAGACTGGTGCAATAATTTAACTTGTCAAACAGAACTGTCATGTACCTATTTAAATTTATTTAATAGGCTTTTTCCCCTTTCTTTTCCCCATTAAATGAAGCACTTAATTTTGCATTTGGTTTTACTGTATACATCAGAGACACTTTATGAATCAAATAATATAACATTTTTAAGGAAAATATACTATTTGAAAATTCATTATGAACAGCCTCATTTTTGTCAATACTTTGAATACAATAAATAGCAGCACATAAACCTAAATTATTGATGCCAGTTTATGTGTAGTACAGAAATTTGCTCACTAAGTACAATGCAATTAAGTTTGACTGAAGCAGTTTCATGATTTAGTTTCTATAAGGTTACTAAGATCATTCAACTGCACAGGAGAGGGATACAATAAACTTAATATAATACATTTTCTGTGTCAAAATGCACAGAATTCTTTTAAGGATAAATCCAACTCTACACTGATTCAACATAACCAGACATTTCATTATGACTAAAAGCTAAATCATTTTTCTATAACAATAAAATAGCACTGTAATATTTCTTGTAAAGTGAAATTGCACCATATCAACTGCTTAAATCTTCAAAAGATAAAATATTCTCAATTTTAAAATACATGTTTTAAAAAAAGAACCTGATGAATGTTTCACACTCAATGAAGTGCTCATTGAATGTATGTGAAATTCAACAAATCTATTTCATCAGTTTCCTTGATTTCAAGCTACAATGATGATTCAACAGTGGAATACTGCTACTCAACAGAAACATCTTTCAGAACTTTATGGAATGCTAAAACAGTATCTTCATTCATTTTGGAACACAAAGAGTTCAATACCTTTGCTGGAACTCATGATGCCATCTGTTGAAGTCAATATGAAATACAACAATTGAACCAGTAGCTAATCCTGCAAGAAGGAATCTGAAAGGAATAAATAACATAATTTTAATGGTTATAGTTAATTAAACTCTTCTAGTATAATAACAAATACAATAATATTATTCTTTATATCATACTATAAAAGTTCAATATTTAATTGTAATATGCAAATACAAACAATAATTTTCTTACTTTTGATCATGTGACAATGCAATTGAGCGAACACTGCTGTCACAAGCAGGAAATGCATACAACAGAGCAAGGTTGAATGTTCTCCAGACTTCTACAATGCCTTTATCACCTCCTGTCATTAGATATTCACCGTCTCGACTTAATAAGAGGCACTAAGAAAAGCAAAAAAAGAACACATTTTCTAAATTATTTTCTATTAAGTACCAAATTAATAATGCTATTCTAAAAATGTAATCTAAGAACAACATTTAATTTAAAACAAAGTTGAAATTGCTACTAATTACTTTTTATGTGATATTGGAAGTAAAACTTTTCAACAATATTTTACTCTGTGAAAGAATTGTATGGAAATAAACAGTAGCTCAATTTAAAATGTATAATAAATTAAGATGTTGATTGGTGAGTAAAACAATCTATGGTATATTAGATAGGAAGGTTATCATTTTTTTCATATTATGTAACAGTATGGTACTACAAGAAACAAGCACATCATTAAAAATTAGACAAAATACTTACCTGAAGGTTATCATTATGGGACTCATGTCTTAGCCTCTTCCCATTGACAGTAAAGGCAGCAATATGACCACGTTCATAATTGACTACAATAACTCCTTCACGTGACATGGCAATATTTTCTGGTGATAAAAATCCAGAAGGTGGCTCTAAAGATCTTAAGAGGTCACCAAATGTAGTATGTACCAAAACAGGACCATCTAATAAAAACATAAGAAAGCAGAAAGCACTGCAGAATTCTATTTCAAAGTTAAATTGAAAGCAATAATCTCTTATCAACTACTTACTTTGTGAACCTGACACAACCAATCCCAATTCTGCTGAAATAACCACACTACTGACAGGTTGCTCATGACCTGTAAGAGTTGCTCGTGGGGTGGGAACCTCACCTTCACCAACAATAGTTTGTGTACGAGCATTCCAATGCCATAAAAGTACAGTGCAATCTGCAGAACCTGAGGCTATGTAACAATCAGATGTAATATTGCACTCAGAACGTGACAAGCATGTCACAACACCGTAATGTCCAAATACTATCTGCACAATTTTGGCTGTAAATACAAAAAACAATTTTTAAACAAAAGACTTAAACATAGATTATTACTTAATATTGCAGTGTAAAATATTACATTTTGTTAGAAATCTTTTAGGTTAATCATACCTGTCTCAGTGGAAAAGACTCGAAAACTGTTATCCCAAAAACCACAGGCAACAAGGAATTTACTATCAACAGTAGTGACAAAACAATTTGAACGAATTCGAATCTTTTGACTGAAATTGTCTCCCAGATGGCGACGAAGCATTGGATTCGAGCTGTTGCTAGTTTGAGCTGCACAATACAATCAATAATTAGAATATTTTTCCAAAATTATCTTGTTTCATGGCTGATGAAGAATTTCAAATAGATAAACAGCAAATTATATTACTTACATAAAACTGGATCCATTGAAAGAGGAAGGTTAGCTGCTGGTGTCTGTGGTGCTTCTGCATAACTTGGAGACTGGACAGAAGCTAAAATAAACACATAATATTAAAAAGAAATCTAATTTGTAATTCCTTGTCAAGAGTACAATGCATTAAAGCAGTATATGAAGGCAAAATTTAAATAAATTAAACCAAAAATTGGACATTGCATAATTATTTTGAGCTTGCATGATACTTTTATTACTCTTGTTTCAGTTTCATTCAGCAAGAATGCATAACAATCTTCTGCAGAAAATTTATATAGCACCAACAGTCACTTATCAGTTACTAGCATTTCACACATCAAAACAAAATTATCTCCTGGGACATAATGAATTACATAAGTTCTGTGTGAAACATTCACTTGAAATGAACTGTAACCACCAATGGCTCAATTGGCTGACCCCACAAAGGTATCAATAGTGTGATGCTTCCCCTACTCCTAAGTATGATGCTTTTGAGTAATGTTTGAAACAAATTTGTCGCATGGAAAAGGACCTTTTGTGCATTATTTTTTATTATCTAAGCCTACTTTCATTTATTTCTGCTTATAATTGTCATTTGGTAATATTAGTAATATGACACAAGACAATTTCTATAGATATATATTTCAACATTTGTCATAATTTTGAAAATTCAACAACACAAAACATTTGGAGGTGGGGGACATGGGCCTTATGGGTGAAGGGGGGAGATCTAAAATGGCTCGAAAAATATTTTACAACTTTGTACTGGGTCAAAACATTGAATTTTTGAATTAAGAATTGAGAATCCTTAAGAAGTAATATGATAATATAAAAAACAGTTTTTCATTTACTGAAAAAAGGTAATGAAAATTTCAAAAATCAAAGAACAAATTCAATTTTTGTTATACTATGTCTATTTAACTTCCTTATGTAAACATAAAGTTATGTAATGCTACAAAATTTGAATGTTAGATTTTTATGAAACTATATGTTTTGGGGATTCCTAATTTGGAGAAAGTGTTGTTTTAGACTGACCAACTGCCAATCCATTTGCCTGTAAACGACATGAGTGTCTAAACTGATCACAAGATTTTCTCCAAAATGAATATTCCTCGATTGTTTTAATCACATTCATGGCCCTGTGTTTTTGAAATGGATCTAATTTTTTAGGGTGCTTTATATGAAGTTCAAAAGTGGTTCCAAATCTTTTCTTTTTCTTTTAGCTTGAATATTAATCATTCACTCCAATAATAATTACACTAAAAACAGCCCAACTCTGATTTTCAGTAAAAATAATAACTTTAAAAAATTGCAAAAATTTAAATTTTGTTTTGGATAATTCAATAATTTATGGAAATTATGTTTTATAAAGACATCTATAAAAGTTTTCCCCTAGAATACTGTCATGATTATAAAAATCCTGTTAATTTAGGATAAAATCAGCCATGACATTTTCCAAGGTTATTATAGACATTTAGCAATTAAATAAAACAAATTGAAAGAATTGTGTTTTTACACTTAGAAGTAAAATAATTTGAAGCAATTTGAAAAAATTTTTTTTTGTTTCCAACTTCACAAACAATCTTACCTGCATAACTGCTGTTCCATCGATTCAGAGCAAATTGCTGATTTGTCGTGACAGTAACAACTGATGGTAATGGCAACTGAGGATATGTGTTGGCAGAGATGTGACAAATAGGAGAATTAGACAAAAATTTCATTGTCATGCACACATCATCTGGAATGCTTGAGAACATCATTGGTGACTGTAATAAATCAGAAATAAAAATCTATCAACTTTCTGAAAGATCTTAAACTTTAATCATTCAACACAAAGATGAAAGATGAAATAATCAACAGTGGAAACAGTAAGAGTTGAAGAATCAAAGAATACAAAGGAAAGTAAAACAGAAAATGGGTTTAAGCATATAAGGCTATTGATTTATGAACAAGAAACAGGAGAAAAGGTTTTTGCAATAACCTGAGAGGACTCTGATGAATTTTGATTTCATTAATAATTCTTACACTTAACAGTACATACAACTGATCCAATTTACACAATGTGCAATGCAGTTCAACTTACCAAGTGCATAGCTGAGCTTCGTGGAGGGTGCGGCTCCATCAACAACTGAGAAGGAGTCTGGCCAAAGTTACGGATTTGGTTTTCAATAGCCTATAAATGTAAAGAAAATATCTTAAATTATCTACAACTTACAAAAAAAGTTATGTGTATTGATGGTTTATTTATTACTTTAATGCATTACCTCTTTCATTACAATATCTGTAATATTGTCCATATCTACACTCCCTTCATATGTCAAGTAATAGAACACATTTGTTGCACGAACAGCTTCAGGTCCTGTTAAAAGGGCATTTAATATCATTATGTGATTGTGATTTGTGTGAATCAATTCTTTTTTTCTCATAAAAGAAAGATAATATACAAAATAAAAAATATTTATATTAGAATACATGGGACCCCACCTCTTTGTTTGTAGCCAAAAATAAGGTCAATCCACTGGTGAAGTTGACAAGACACAAATTCAGATTCCAAAGCCTACAAAAATAAAAAATGAATTAAAATTCATAATTAAGGTATGGACTACAACAAACTGACATAGCACATTAGTTTTAGCAATGTTTTGATTACATACCATTCTGTTGATTCTAATAAATTCTTCAGGAGATGATGCCCATGGTGGTAGTTCAACATCACCAACATGTGTTCCATCTTCTTGTTGCCCAAGCTTGTATCGATTAGCATTAACTAACATCTCAGGTAAGAAGAAGAATTCAGGAATCAGTTCCTGGAAAGCAAATCAACACTTATGAAATTCTCATTTTCACTGAAATAACGTCCTACACTTTTATACTATAAGAAAGAATCTGAGATGGACAGCATTCAAAATTCTGGCCCATTAATTACTGCAAAGTCTACCTTTAAAGAAAACTGTTAGTATTTTTAAAATTCAGAATAATACAAAACAAAACTCATATTACAGCTCTTATACAAATAATATTATTTTTGTCATTTAACAGTAGAAATTATTATTGTTGCTTCAAAAAGCATAAGGTGGGGCATCACAGGGGAGGTCCTGGTGGGGTGTGGCAGCCTAGGTTTATAGAACCAATGTGCGCCAGGAAGGTCTCTCGTCAATAAGCCGAATCAAGGCTTCCTATTAAACATTGCCTTGATCACTACCAACCAGATCACTAGGAGACAATACTTCCAGCATCTGCTGTAATTGTGGGGAGTGTGCAATGTACGTTTTCTTTTGTTACAAACTGCAGTTAGTGCTACCAACATAATTGATTTTGATGCAAGCACTCTTCCAGCAAGGTGCCACTGCAGAGAGACTTTCCTAGAGCACTGTACTAAAAACCAGGGAGGCCCTCCTCTATTGGTGCACACTGACAAGAGTGGTCCATTGAGTGGTGTCAGAGCAGAGAACAGCCAAAGCTAACGAATAAGAGATGGGAAAAGTGAGTTTCTGATGGCTAAAAAAACAGTTGGACTAAGGAAAGGAAAATCTTGACAGAGGGAGGAGCTCTAAGATACAGAAGTCCAGGCCAGGAAACCATGAAGAACAAACCCTTGTTCTGGAAGTGTTCAACCAATTTCAATATGGTTTTCACTCAGAGTTTTGACAAGAATAACTTGAGCTACATTTTTCAAATTATTATTTTTCTTATTTACAGAAGAATATGTATTTGCTTGTTTTTGTATGTTAATCTGGCCTATAGTTTTATTCCAATCTTAATGACATTTTGAAAACTCAACCATCAAGACAAGAAAAAATTTACTGTCTACTTGAGATTTCATAAAACTATCTTCATTTCTCTTTCTTATTCCTTAAAGGAAAATTTAGGTGTGCACTCTTGCAGTTTCCCTGTGTAATTGTGTAACTGGTAACTGCATGTTAGATTTCTGAGTAAACTATGAGTAATTGTGTTCTGGATCTCCATTCCAGAACAATGGTACAAGCTCTAATATGGGGCCAGTGGCTGTTATTTGTGATATGTAATGATGTAGGACTAATATGGATGTACGGAGGTTTGCAGAATGCCAGGAACCTCTTCAATGGCAATTGTTCCCAGGAGCACCATGCTCAATTAAGCAAAACCAAAAATCTACCCACAACTCAAAAGAATAGGAAATTAAGTGAATTAGTGTGACAATTTCTGTGCCATTTTGTAGCCCTACTCTTTTCTTTTCTTTTTTTTTAATATCATAATAATTGCAGGTGTGCATTCATCGGGAGGGAAAAGATGGAAATTTCCCCTCCCAGTAACTTAGTATTTAAGATTTACCTTCACATCAGATGTGTCCCTTTGACAATTCTTCCAAGACATTGCCACAGAAGAAAATAACCTGTTAGGATGATCAAATTTGCCTCCTTGGAGAGCCAGGAACATGGTTGTGAGGGGTTCCTGCATTAAAAAAATTATTCAATATCATAACAAATATTGCATTGCACATACATATCATATCAGTCCAACTTTGGAGATACCAACCACACGAATAAGCCAGTTCAAAACAAATGCTGCTGTTGAGTAGTGGGTGCCATAGTGAAATGGAGGAATGCTCTCATGCTCCCAAGAGTTATATCGTTCTTCAAAATATGCCCGTCGACTTGGATTCAGAGCTCCAATAGGCTGCAAGAAAAAAACATTGTAGCAAACAGTTTTCATCTCTTTATAATGCATCGGTTAAATAATGAAAAGAAATGTCTGTACCTTGGAAAGGTCTCTATAGTTACTTGGCAGACTTAAATCAAGTTCTTTTGATTCATAATTTGTAAGAACCCATGGAAAAACAGGGTACTGATTTAAGTCGTTGTATGTTCTTCCTGTAAAAAAAATAATGCATTTAATATTTAAAAAATCGTAACATACATTTAAAGAACAGGTAAAAGGAAAGATGATTAGATTCAGAATAATTATCACAAAACAATTTAAAAATGACTTTCAAAAAGGATAAAAATTGACCCAATTTTAAAATGTTACAAGATGTGTTTCAGGTGACTAATATAAATCCAGCAATCTCCAGTTTTTGTGCTAAACTTAAAGAAGCTAAAACTCATTTGACCGGTTCATCTCAAGAGGGATGATGCAGAATTAAGCTTCAATAATTCTGTGCATAAATACAGTATGTTCACATTTCCTTTGCAGCTTTGCAGTAAATGTAATACAAAGAATTGTAATGCTTCAGCTAAAAGTATCGATTTCCCCTCCGAAAAACCTGTATTACGAATCCTCGATGCTGAAAAAGTGGATCTTTCTTGCTTCCACAAGCAGTGAATGACTTTCTGTAATACATGGTGTAGTCAAAATCCACAATTGGTGGGTATTTAGCGTGAAAAAATGTGGTTTTCGACAAGCCACCCGCCCGCCTGTTTTTGAGAAAATAATAGTACTGCCTGGATTTCACGCAAAATTTCACAATTTGAGAAAAAATGTTCATGATCTTATTTATAAATCTATAGTTGAAGAATGTATACTATTTCCTTAAGAAAAAAAAACTTTAATTATGCAGTTGGACGAACAAGCCGAAAAAACATACTATGCATTTTCCGAAAATTTAGAAGTTTTGACGAACTTATTATAACGATTAAAGAAAAACATGAAGAGACAAAATGTTTTGTCAAAGAGGGCAAAAATATGCCGTTAAGTCCCACGCTTTTTAACGTGTATACAGCGGAACTGGGGAGGTTTATGGTGATGATTGGAAAGGAGAATATATGGACTTTGTCATATGAGGATTTTTTTTTTATTAGCTAGGAATGAGATAGGTCTGAGTAATATGTTAAAGAGACCAATATATATATATAAGATACGAAGGTAAAGGTGGGCATAGAGAAGTCAAAAGTATGTGGGAGAGGAGGAGGGGGAGAAGGAATTTTGCCATCAGATTTGAATTACAAACCGCACCCCCAAGCGAGTTCAAAACAAATGCTGCTGCAGTTTAGTACGTTTTAAAACGTCGGGTTGTGTAGGTGCCTCGAGAATAGTCTAGTGTCGTTAAATTAGCCTCTGTTATTCTCGGTGCCAACGACTTGTGAGGTGGTTACAACACTGGAAGGCCGATGTAACGCCGGAAGAGGGAATGCTGCAGATGGATGTAGGGATAGATACACGTGGGAGAGGCAGGCGGGCGAGGGGGGGGGGCGTTGCTTGTGGTCCGATGTCGGTGGGCTTCAGCAGGCCGGGCGTAAGCGACCGCCTCATCCAAAGCCAGAGCGAGAGGGGACGTGAGAACGTGTGGCGGACGGTGGCGCTGGTAAAGGCAATTGATTAGGGGACGGAGGGAGGAGCGGCTGGCCGGGACGGAAGGGGCCGGGTTGGGACGCGGTTGTAAGGACAGGAAAAGAGGAGAGGAGTGGGCGGATAACCTCACTCAAGCATAGGACCCTTGATCTCCGGAGGCGAAAAGGAGGCGACGCGGAGGAGTGGTGCGGAGAGGACGCCGGAGATAGCGGGGGAGTGGATGGGGATCGAGAGGGGAGGCGACGGGGAGAGCGGGGGAAGGACGGGACGAGCGGAGCGGGGATCAGGAGGGACGGATAAACGAGGATGCGCGACCAACACTGTTCGCTTCCTCCGCGGTCCGCAGGAGGGAGGCGTGTGGTGGTGAGGATGGTAAAGGACGGGGGCGGGCCGGCAATCCGTTGCCAGAATCCGCTGTGCAGGAAGCAGGTAAATGGCCGACAGAGGAGACAGAGGGTGGAGCGGCGGGGGTTGGTGAGTGTGACGGGGCGCGTAGGAAGAACGCGGAGGCAAGAGACGGGTAGAGGAAGGGGCAGGGGCGGAGGAGGACGTGGAGCGGCAGCGGAGAGCAAGCGGCGACTTGAGGTGAAACGGCAATGGCGATAGGGACGGAGGGTAAAGCGGCGACGGGGCCGGAGGACGAGCGGGAGGACGGAGACGAGGGAGGAGGAGGGATAGACGCTGTGGAGGGGTGGGAGAGAGCATGGAGGGCAAGCACGGGAGCGGTTCGAGTGGAGGCGGTGGAGGGGGCCGCGGCAGCTGAGTGTCAGAGGCAATCGGCGGCACAAGACGGAAGTGCGAGAGGGGGGGCGGGCGGGGCGGCCGGCGCGAGAGCTGGCCGCGTTAACTAAGCGGCAGAGACAGTCGGATGCGCCAACGCCTCCCGACGATGACGGAGTGTCCGCGGAGGCCGGCGTCGACACCTGAAGACGCCGCCTGCGCCGGGGCTTCGCGTCGCGCCGTCGCGAAGCGTCTTTCCGAGCTCTCACGCAGAGCCGCCTTCTAGAGTTTCGGAACCGCGTGCATAAACAGGGACGTTCTCACTCTTGCTATAGGAGGAACAAGTACAGCAAAGCTTGCCGAGTTCCTAACATACTATTGTTCTAAAGACACGCAGAGCGCGCGATCACAGCACGCACGACCATAGCATACCAACACACTACGAGCGCGACAATAGTTTCCTAGAAAATGCCTAGAAATTAAAAATTTACAGCAGAAAAGAATGGGTGTAAACCGTTACTTGTGAGATGTATTAAACATTCAATCATTGCGAAATTTAACGAAAATTAGCCTAGTTTAATGTTTTCAACAGAATGCAAAATTGAGTGGTGTCCGATGTAAGAAAAGAGCATGATAGCATTACTTCGGCAGTGAAGCCTGATGAACTGAACATTAGCCAACACGAGTCAAGTTAAAGGTTGGCGACGTAGGTTTACCGTAGACGAAGTATCGCAATATTATGTTTTTCATAGGGGAAAAAATCTGCTAGTGCGAAAGTTTGTAAGGCCAAGAAAATTTCTAAGACTATTGAGAAAAAGGTTTATTTTCAGTTTCCACATTGTCCCGTCGTAAAATTTAGTTAATCTCACTTCATGCCTCAGTTGAAAGGCTTCGCCTACCGCATTTCTGAAGTTGGGCGAGGAGGCTCCAGGTCTTACGACCTTCGCTGATAACATAAAACAACCTGGAGTTTGAGGCATTAATTTCGATCGCATTGTTATGTGCCAAATACTTCAAGCGAACATCAGATACCTTGAAACATCATATTACCGTTGGATTGACTTTCCCTCTCTCCTCACTCTTGTCTCCTGTTTGTCTGTCTGTCTCCTGTCTGTTGTCTCCTGTCTGGTCTGTCTCTTCTGACTCTCTCTCCTCTCTGTCTGTCTCTATCTCTCTGTATCTCTCTCTCTCTCTCTTCTCTCTCTCACACACCACACACACACATGCATTACCCAGCACCCGGTTCCTTACTCGCGAATATGTCCTAATCATTTCGGAAATGATCCGTTCACCGTCATTCATCTTAGCTTAATGAAACCGTTCTAGCTAATGTGCGAACTAACCGGATTTTTCCCAAATCAGCCGCATTTCGCGATGGCCCTTCTTATGCATTCAAAATACTGTGACAACGATTGTCACACGGGAGGCCTCAATTACAGCTAATAATAGTAAGGGTTGCAACCTTACCCGCGGATGGTGTTGGAGGAAACATTGAGGTATTCGAAAGTTTGAGATCTCCCGGCGTTGCCACTTCTGCGTCATGTTGGAGGTGCGCATGAGCTGGCGAGGGGACATCATGGAGGCCCGCCTGCGACAAGAGAGGCGATGCAGGTGCTTCCGCGAAGCCAAGCAAAGCACACAAAAGCCGAATTCGCCTAACGAATACTAAAGAGACAGTAAAAGTATTCTTCGACGAAAGCAACATGGCATGATAAGTGTTCTATACCACACGAAACCAAACATGAGATATCTTATTCATTTCGCAAAACATATTACTGAGCAAAAGTAATGAGCAATAAGTTGGTGCGCTACTGACTAAGTTCTAAAATTATGTTTTAGGAAGGAAGAAAACGAAAAAGAAAAAGAAAAAGAAAAAAAAAGGTCACGTATAACAAAACAAACCTTTCTTCTTTCTTTTTATAATTTTATTTTCTTCCCTCTTTATAACACCATTAGGAAAACAGACGCTTCATGATGCGTTTTAGCGTAGTTTCCATAAGGAAAACAAGCTGATTCAGCGTTTTTGTGCTGCAAGGCGTTCCTCGAGCGAACTCACTCGAGCATTTCGGTCTCGAGTGCCGTACGCTCGAGCGTCCTGCGCTCGCCCGCGGTGTCTGATTCACAGATCACAGCCATGACTCTCGCGGCTTGGCTTCGCTTCGCCTCGTGTCACGATCGAGCTTTGTGTGGTAGGAATAGATGACGCGGTAAGATGGCGTTGCAGTAAGCAATATACATGAGGGACTTTTCAGGCTAATGTTCCATTGCAGCTATATTTACTGTATACAAGCGAACAGAATATGTGTGGAATTATAGTTCAATAAATGATACAGATTTCTTTTCGAAACCATGGATCATAAGGAGGTAACTCATTATATCCGAATCAATGTTTTTACTTTAAAAAAATATATATTAGCTGAACTTTGGTTTCTTTCACTTGCTGAATTTGCATTATGAATAAAGCAAATTCTCGGTATTTCGATCACACTAAAGTAAACTTTACTTTCCATTGACACTTTTTCACAAAATTTGTAGTTACTGTTTGGACTTTTCAAATTTTTGTAGTACAAAATAAATTGAATAGAAATTATACCGTATAAAACACACTCAAGAAAAATATTGAAAAACCTTCAATTGACAACACTTTCTTCTATTAATAGAATTTAAAATAACTGAAATGCAGTTTTATCAATGAAAATTAACAAATAATATAATTCATTAATTAATGTGTCTTAGCGTACGAAATTATTTTCAACTCGAGCTGTTGGTAGCGATGCGCGCGCACTCACCTGGTCTGCGGGATGCCGTACTTAATGCCAACGCCCACACGCGGCAGAGCCTTGATCACCTTTTTGACCGTCGCCTGGTCCGGAAACGCGAACATGATGGATGCTGTGGGCAGAGAAAGGGAATGAACGAGCTGGCGACAGCACTATCACACGAGACTCACAAGCGCCGATAATCTTACTTTAAACTACTTATTAAATTGTTTTGTCGTTTTTTGGCAATACAAGTAATTAAATATCAGTTCTGGGTTTTCACAACCACATACCGAAAGAGGGTAATTCTGTCTGATCTGATTTACCGACCATTAACCTTTGGAAGCAGTCACCATCGTCACATTCAAAAACATATGTAACACATTGTCACAACTGAGTTGAGCCCCCTTCTCTTCAAGGTCAGTCGCCGACCGCCGGAAATGGTGATCTGGTCCTTTCGGCCAACTTCGAATCTCCAGAGACAGCAAATTCCGATTTCGGGAACGAGAACTGGGAGGAATATACTAGGGGAAAGGAGGCACATCCACCCTTCCTATATAAGGAAAACAGACAAGGAAATGCCACAAGTCCCCATTATTTAGACTCGTTTTTCCCTTGTCAATACTTTCATGTGCGATATGTTAATGTTTTGAAGTGCAATTTTCACTAACACTAATTACTAGGGAGAGGATTTTTATGAATTAAAAACCTTGAAATATGATTTTTAAAGGACGCATTTATGTTCTAAAAATTCTGAAATATGCATTTTAATATGCAATTAAAATTGACCATATTTCATTTCCGATATAATTTCATTATCATTTCTTGATATAATTCAGGAGAATTTTATGATTGGAATGAAAAGATATATTTCTGGGCATACATAATATAACCTAGCTTTCTTCTTGAAGTATTTATTTACGTCAAAAACTGAGTGACGTGCTATGGGGAGAAGTTAATTTGAAATTACATTTATGTCCACAAACAAAACAAGGGGCCATCTCAGCATTTGATCGAGGATCAGGGAAACTGTACGAAACCTGACATAGTAACAAGCACAATACTTGTTACAGGTTCTTTACAATTATACAATTCAAATGATTTATAAAACATTAAATGTCATTGTTAAAATGAATATTTCTTTCCTTGATATCAAGAAATATCCTACATTTTCACAAGTGTTTTATCATCAACAGAAAAGAATAAAAAAAGCTAATTGTGACAAGCCCTTTCTAATCAATGAGCACTCACAAAAAATATTCTAACACGAAACGTTTCACAGATAAGTCTCTCTTTTAACTAAACATGCAAAATATGCTCCTATAATCACACGAATATTCACCAATAGTAAAAATCGTTAAAATATGCACAAGTACATTAATCAACATAGCATTCACTTCTAACCAAATATCGAGAAATTTCACTTAGCAATGCCCTGACAAAAATATGCAAAATCGTAGAAATCCGCTCCCTATTCATAACTATTTCAGTGAAGACGATATTTCAATTTTGAACTAACTCCATGAATTTAGGAAGTGACAAAACAGAGGGGCGCGTGCAAACGAACGGGAGATACGATTAGGCGGGCGCAAGGGCAGAGATACGAACGAGCGAGCGCGAAGGCCCGCGGCAGGAGCAAAAAGAGGCAAAGCATTCGGGTGGGCGAGAGCAAGAGGAGAGGCGGGGGCGGTGGGAGAGAAGGCAGCCGTCTCATTTCACGGTCCGCCGCCGACAGACGTCAAGGAGTCTGATGAAGACGTCAGAGGACATCGAAATAACTTGGGACGAAAACAACGACTCGCTCTAATTACGCATCCAAATCTGTCGTCTTGGTGGCCTCTACTTCCTTACTCTTCTGTCGCAGCGGCGTCGATTTCTGAGTCACTCACAGCTTCGGCAAGTGCGAGTGTACACATTTCTACAGCCACAGCAAATAGCCTCTGCTACGTCTAGCAATTAGCCTCTGCTTACATCTAGCAATTAGCCTTTGCTTACATCTAGCAATTAGTATTTGCTTGTATCTAGCAATAAGCCTTTGCTTATATCTAGCAATTAGCCTTTGCTTACATCTAGCAATTAGCCTTTGCTTATATCTAGCAATTAGCCTTTGCTTATATCTAGCAATAAGCCTTTGCTTATATCTAGCAATAAGCCTTTGCTTATATCTAGCAATTAGTCTCTGCTTAGGTCTAACAATTAGCCTCTACTTAGGCTTAGCAATTAGTCTCTGCTTAGGCTTAGCAATTAGCCTCTGCTTAGGCTTAGCAATCATGATGGTGATAATGGCTAAGCCATCGAAAGCTGCTATTGCATTAAATAATATTGTTGGCAATGACAACGTCTTTAATTATTTTATGAAAAATGCCAAAGATATCACACCACAACACCTATAGAATTAAAGAACATATATTTCTAATTAGCCGGCAGGTCGTGCAATGTTGTACGAGTATCTGAGTCTTACACTTTATTTATATTTTGAGGTCACAGAATAGGCTTAAAGTTGGTTTTGTAAAAGCATAATAGTGAGTATTAATGTAATTTTCCGTAAACAAAAGAAGCCTACGTGTTCACAAAATTTTCTGAAACACTGAATTTGAAGTGTTTTTGAATTTTTAAAAATATTTTCGCGATATTATCTCAAAAATGTATTGGGTACATTAAGGTGCAATATCACTTCAAGTCAGAGTGCCAACAACATTGAATATCATGACGTTCATCCTCGCTGAATTATCATAAATTTTCAAATCTTTATAAAGTGACCATCTAAAATACGATATATAACGCATAACAAAATATCAATGAGCTTTTGTAATTTCTTGTTATAAAAGACCAATATTAAATGTTGGAACTGCGTAGTTTGAATGCAGTCAGTTTTTAAGCAATGCGATGATGAAAATTTAGAACTCATACGAATTTGTTTTTCTAGGATCGTACAAAAATTAGTGATTCTACACACCGCTAAGCGAGCGTAAAGTAGGCCTTTATTATACTAAGGAGTCTGAAAAACATGAAGTCACAGAGGAAAAATAAACTTTTCACACGGCGACTCCTTAGCGGGGAAAAATGTTTTCGCCGGTTATCATTGCCCGTCCTCATCACACATCACTCATGATCTAGAATGCCTCAACGCCTCTTCTGCACGCCCTCACATTCATTGTCTCCTCCACTCGCACGACAGAGGCTGACATTGAGTTACGAAATAAAACATAAATCGTTTTTATCATCATAATTTTTTATATGATTGTGGAAGAATATGCTATTTCTTGAGCGATATTACAAGTATATAGTACTTGTATATAGTTTTGCCCAATCTCGATTGTGAGTACAGGTTTCTGCCAGACCTGTAATTCTTGCTGCAAAAAACCAACAACAACTCAATCTCGATTGTACAAAAACATTTAGTGACTCCCTTAATATAAAAATAATGTTTACACAGGGATAAGAAAGAAGTATTAAATAATAAGAAAAAAAGGGTAATGTTGACCATGAGCAAATTTTGCTCATTTAGTGCACTGGAAGGTCTAATGTCTGTCAAATATGAACCACACAATATTTAGTTTCAACATACCCACTTGGATGCGCCATATTAGACAAATTATTACTTCTAACACGAAAAATCGGGATTTTGCTGCGTTTTTCATGTCAGAATAATGTTTTAAAATCTCTTTTTCTTATTATATATTTTTTATCAACATGTATTACTACAAACCTTTTTATATTTATTAAGAAAATGTATTTTGTGCATTAAGCAAAGAAATTGATTTAGTGATATGAGTAATCCTCAGGAGTAACTTTTTTAACTGAATTTCGGAACATCATTAATACTTGGCAAATATTCTGAAAATAATAAAAAAAAGTTTATCAAGTATGATGGACTTACTTAAAAAATATTTTTATACGTAAGTGTACTTCATGTAATGTATATACCAAAATAAGAGTTAATGCGATGTTAACTTCTCAAATCTCAAGGAATACATTTGCATGGATTTTGAAATTGAAAATGCGTAAAAGTTACGTTACAAGGGGTGGAAAGAAAGTGATGTTTTCGCTGCCAAAAATGTTCATTAGAATTCGATGAATTTTTTTAGGCGAGAACGTTCCATGTAAATTTGTTAATGCATTCATAGGAAAAAGCAAAAACTTAAGGAATGTCTTACAACTGTTCCTTACAATTCAGTTAGATAAGGATAATAAAATGTATCAAGATCAAAAGTGAAATAGGGCTCTGCAGCAAAACACTTATCAATTATGATTGATTTCAAGCCAGAAATGCTTTTTCCTCGAAATACACTTACTGCAGTGTAATTTTATTTTCTATTAAAAGAGAACAATGAGAATGTCTAGCAATATTTTATTTCTGACATCATTCCGAACGCAGCGAAATCCCGCAGCCGTGTTTCCGGGGCGCGCCGGCAGGGGCGCTGGCGGGCCGGAGCGCCTGCTTAGGTTTACCTTGAAACGACTGCGCAATCTGCTCCGACTCGCAGTAGTTCGCCCCCACTCGAAAAAAATCCAGGAAGCCTCCTGTGCACCAACAGGTCGAAGTCATGCGCGTGTGCCGACAAAGAAAAAGAAGCAAAACACATGCAGACGGTGATCGTTAATGAGGTCGCGTTGCGGAAGAAAAAAAAGGGTGGAGAACGGAAGAGCGGCCAACAAGTTCATCGAGGCGAGCCCAGCCCGCCCGGCTTTGGTTTTGGATAAGGAGGTCTTTCCAAGCGGATCTCTCACCAGCGGAGGGCAAGTGTCTTCACAGGGCGCCCAAGCGGCGGAGTCGATGGCGACGCAGGGAAGATTTTCAAAAGGCGAAACGTCTTGTTTGAAAACCCGGTTGAAAATTGACTTGCAAGAAAAATACAGACCTACGTACGACAGGAGGATTTTTGCTAGATGAGATGGTTGCTTTTGGAAACAATGTCGCCAATGGACTTGGATTCTACCCACGTAGGTACCGACCATGTAATAAGTTCTGCACAGAACTAGTTTGAATTACTCTTAGCTCGTAAGACATTCGTCGAAATATTTCTTGTGAACAGTTTTGGCGCTTGATCGGAATCAAGACACTTTACAGGCATCGTTACGCTCATTTGTAAATTGTCTTGCGCTTGCAATTATCAGTGATTATTATCCTATTATATTCTCTGGAATATCCTAACGGACATTGGCGAAGAAGTACTAGACTTCAATTAACTGACTACTACAATGATGTATTAATATCACCGATTATTTGGCTTTGTTTTGTCCCACAGCTATAGAAATTGAGACGATCTCTATTAGAAAGCAACAGCTTCATATTTGTCCCGGCCGGGAATCGAACTCAAGACAGCCTTATAGAACGTTATTACGCTGTCCATGAGCCACTCAATGGGCACATAGGTTTATATACATACATATATTTTTTGTCTTTATTGAAATTAAATTCAGAGACGATACTGAAACACAACTAAATGGCTGATTTCGTTGTTCGCCGTACGGTTCGCGGAATAACAATAGTTTGTTCAATTTCACGAATTTGGAGACACGCCCGTATCGTGAAAATTATGTATAAATTTCACAATTGATGATATCTCACGACGAGAGTATGTGAAAAACGACAAACGATAAAGACTCGTTAGTTCATTTCGAACTTAAGATCAAATTTTTTACTTCTGAAACCTTACATTTTTTTTTCAAAATAGTGCTTAAGGAAAATTCCTATTATATTTAGAAATAGAAAAACGTGAGACGAAATTAGGTAGTAGCACAAGTAGTTTTCAGATTTTAAAATGAAGGTTAGTGTAGATCGCTACCCAATTTAAAATTGTATACAAAACGCGTTCTTCACACCTACACACCTTAAATATCGGAATGTCAATTGGGACTAGTGTTTTGACTGCTTTGATGAGTACAGATTACGAGGAGTTAACAAATGAGAAGAGTATCAATTACATATTTAGAAAATTTATACAATAATACGAAAATTGGGTATTTGACAGTTAAAAAAACAAATAAAAGACAATGATTATTTTTAAGAGAAGCGTAATATTCCAAATAATTCTAAAATTCCAAAGAATTACATTACCTACAGGATGGTGACAACGAGGATACCGTAAATACCTAAAGCCAGATAATACATGAAAGGCTTTTACCCACTAACACGAGCATTAAAATAAGCACAAAACAATTGTATAAAACAATTTAAAGCGTATTTAAATATGGAGCCGAGTGATGAATTACAAATTCTGGAGACAAAATTATTAAAACCAGAGATATGGAATACTGGAAACATTGTCACGTTGAAAGAACAGTCGACGTATTAGAGAATAAATTAATCCTGAAAACTCTACTATGGAGATGTCGAAAACAAATGCACTACTACGAAACAGGAACTTGGGAGGCTAAACAGAAATCGACGTCAGGTAAAGTTCGGGAGCATGTACACAAAGAAAGAAAGATGTGAAGGTAACGGCGATGTCTAATCTTAGCATGGAAAAAATCAAAAGATGCGAAGTTTAGGTAGCGTGAAACGCTAGATGTTCAAAAAAGCTCGTATTGCAAATTGAAGTGAAACAGCATCTACGAGATACCACTAAGGGCATTCCAGAGCCACCCAAAGAAAACCACCACAGCTATCTCTACCAAAACTAACTCCACCATTACTACTTTGGAATTACCATTCATTCCACCACCACAGCAAGGGTCCATTACTGGGCATTCCAGGAATGCGTCCTCTGGTCTTAATCTCCTGGTAACCAGTCTTGTGCGCACACACCATCATTCACGCATGCCAGCGGAGAGGCCGAAAGGAGAAGCGTTGATAAGACGTGAGCGAGAATGATGGCTACGAGGAGAAATGGAAGGTGGGAGATGTAATGAAAGTTCGGTGCAGGGGCGGAGGCGAGGGCGAAGGCGGGGTGGAGGCGGAGGAAGGCGCGGAGGCGATGTGCGGACGTGGGCGGGGGCGGGGGCGGAGCGGGCGGGGCGGGGCGGAGGCGCGGGCGAAGGCGGGACGGGGCGGAGACGGGGGCGGAGACGGGGCGGAGACGGGGCGGAGACGGGGGCGGAGACGGTGGAGACGGGGTGGAGGCGTGGCGGAGGCGGAGCGGAGGCGCGGGCGGAGGCGGGGCGGAGGCGGGGCGGAGGCGGGCGGGAGGCAGGGCGGAGGCGGGGCGGAGCGGAGGAGTAGCGGGAGGCGGCGCTAGTAAATCGCGAGTGTCGGAGGGAGCGCAGGTTTCGCAGGCGAGAGGGGGAGGGAGGTCGCCTCTCCGCTTGGGTGACCTGAGAGAAGCGGGAATGAATTCCACTGGGGACAGATAGCACCGGGGAGGCCTGATCAATACCATACACAGCGTCGAGTGGGAGAAGGGCGGCGGCGTCTTCTTTGGCAGGCCCTCAGCGAGGACTGATGGGTTCACCGGCGAGATTATGGAGCGGAAAAGGTCGCGAAAGGCGAAAGACACAAAATCAACAGGGAAAGGAAATTACAAACGCTGAATACGAAAGTGAACTAGGCATGAAGTAAATGACGGTGAGAAACAAGGAACAAGCAGGTTTCGATTGTGAGTATCGTTCAAAGAAAAAAAACGCGTTAGCAGGAAGAGGAAGGATTCATTTAATTTTTGGGCAACTCAGGCTGCGGGCGCGGGGACGGAAGCGGGAATGGAAGCTGCGCGGAGGAAGCGGGGGAGAAGCGGGGGAGGAAGCGGGGAGGAAGCGGGGGGAGCGGGGAGGAAGCGGGGGAGGAAGGGGCGGAGGGGAGAAAGCGGTTGGAGGAAGCGGGGAGGAGCGGGGAGGAAGCGGGGGGAGGAAGCGGGGGAGGAAGCGCGGGAGAAAGTGGGGGAGGAAGCGGGGGCGGGAGCAGGGGCGGGAGCGGGGGCGGGAGCGGGGAGCGGGGCGGGGGCGGGAGCGGGGGCCTGAGCGGGGGTGGGAGCAAGAGATCGGGAGCGTGGCGGGCGCGGGGGCAGGGGCGGAGGTGGACGTGTGGGTTGCGGCGGCGCACGGGCGCAGCCAATGGGCGTCGGGGCGCTTATCGACCGGCGCCGGAAGCCACGGCGTCGCGACGCGTCGGCGCGCGCTGCCCCTGAGCAGGCCCCGACCCCCGACGTCCGACTCAGAAGCCATCTTGGACCCACTACCTCCAAGCTGCGACCAAACAATACCAAGCAAGCTTTAAGGCCTACTGCAGCAAAAAATGCTGCTGTCACGGGAGTGGAAATGGGGCTCTTGAGCAGAAATAAATGTTGCTTAAATGTGGATATCAGACTTTTTACTGCTGAAGAGCCCTAGTTTTCAAATCAATATACTCGAAAAATAGCGTGCAAATCCATGAAAACCTTTATGAAAATTGCTGTAAGAAAAGAAAAATACAGCAGATACATGACTCAAACAATAAAACACCACATACGATGTTTTGGTTGGATCACGTAAGTTTGGAGGAAATACCTGCAAAACAGTTCGAAGTGTGAAGATAAGAGAAGTTATTGTTGATGACGGGGGAAATAACATTATGTAGTTTCTGGTTTAATTTTCGAGATATTAACAAAACTTCAATTTTTTAATGGAAATATACTATATTGTTTACCATAATTCTAAAGTTCTGATAAATTCAAAAAAATATTGTAGAAAAATTGCGCATAACATAATAAAATAATTCAATTTTTCAGTCAAAATCGGAACTGTTTCCTTGTTTTATATTTTTCACATTTTCTAAAGTATCTATCAAAAACTGTTGACACATTATCGCGGCCAGAGTCTGCTCATTTTTCTGACATTTTACACGTATATCCGAAATTAGTAATATAGTAGATTATGTCTAAGTATCTAACAGGTGTTTGGGCTTAAGGATGCATAGTAACGTTTTAGGTGAAATTTACTACGTTCCCGAAGTTTTGCAATCCTACAAAACTCTAGTAGAATAGTTACTCGCGCGAAGAATAATTAGTCCCTAAATGAGGGTAGCGCTCTCGAGGATAATACGTGATTTGCATAGGTCTTTCTTCGAGGAAAGGTTGAGCAACCAGAGCTAGAATCTAACTGGCACCAACAAGTAACACCTTTCACAGCACAGATGCTATTACTACTGCAAGACCCATACCTTCGGCAGCTGCACTAGTGCTTCAGAAGAAAGTTACCATTTTTGTGCAGAAGCTACAATTTCCTTTTGTGGCGACTGGATTAGCATCAATTGCGCATGATGCATATCAAGCGCCGCACAGAGAAACACAGCGATAATTCAAGCGATCTTAGTATTCAATCAAGGTATCATTCACCTCCATCATTCATAACCTCGTTGGGGAAATATTTGAAAAAATACGTAGGTTGAAAACTAACGTAATCCGACTACAAAACTGGAAGAAAGAAGATCACAGCGAGAAAACGGCATCTCCGAGTTTAGCTTCACAAGCCCACGAACTTTTACCGAATATTTCGATGTTTTATATGAAATTATCAATATCAGCAATTCTATTTTCATAAAACCTCGCAGTAAAGTACTCGTAATTACATGCAGTGAAACAGTAAGAAGGATCACATTATTTCTCGAAGCTAACGAAGAATTGGAGACTTCAAAATGTCAAGAAATTAAATTTAATCGACTTTATACTAAACACAAGTGCAGAGAATACAAACGAACATTCTACGAATTCTTGAAGCCACTTGAGAGAGATGCGGGGAAAAAGACGGAGGGAGGAAGTGAAATAGTGATGAAAAGAGAGACGGTGAGGTAGAGCGACAGAGGTGTGAAGAAGAGAAAGAGAGGGCGATGAGAGAAAGTGGGTGAGGAGGAGAGAGAGGGTGAGGAGGAGAGAGAGGGTGAGGAGGAGAGAGAGGGTGAGGAGGAGAAAGATGGTGAGGAGGAGAGAGATTGAAGAAGAGAGAGGACGAGGAAGAAAGAGAACAAGGAAGGGAGAACGAGAGGGATAATGACTACACCCAAAATTTGTCTCCACACCTAACCCATCTAACGACAGCGAAGTGGAATTCGCAGATGCACCCGCGGCGCCGCTGTAGGGCGCTGGCGGGGCGGGGCGGCGGGCACCGCCTGAGGGCCTGCGGCGGCGCGGCGCGCCGGCGACTTTATTTTCTGCCGCCGACAGTAAACGTTTAATTGCGCCGTAAATAATATTAGGGGCTGGAAACAATATTTCAGAGCCGTTCTCTTACGACCCCGGCGTTGACCGGCGCTCTATATCATCATCCAGCCGCGGGTGCTTTGGACAGAACACACACACACGGAAAATAGACCGAAATAGCTCCGGCGGGTGGGGCGGCGCGGCGCGGCGACATGACAGCTGCGGGGGCACGCTGCGGAGATGAGATACAGAAGGCGAATTGATACGGGACGCCAGGGTTTTAGAATTCAGACGTATACGAGGGAAGCTGATATTTGTCTAAAAACCTTCGCCAAAATGTTTGTGATCAAGGTACCCATTGCAAAGGATACAAAGTCATCGTGAAACTACTAAATTAAAAAGTATGATTGTAGAACGATATTTAAAACATTATTCTGATGACTTGATTGATACGGTCCACATAGCATACAATTCCCTATGAATAATATTTGACGCGAAATACAGTAAACGATACCAAAATTATCGAATGGTTTCATGGATATATTCCTCATTAACGGTATTGAAGAACACTGATGTAACTATTTAAATATAGTAGTTAAAAATAAGTAGAAGAAAATTATTCAATATGTTTTCATGTACAGGAAGTCTTAATAACATTCATTCGGATAATTAAAAATAATCATTGAAACGATTGAATGACAGACGTTTTTTGAAGAAAACTATTGAAAGAGACGAGGTGTTAATTAGCTATCGAGTAATAGATTCCATGAACTAAAATCGTGGAAAAAACGCACGAGAAGAGAATTTCTATATGACAAAATAAATTTGATCGAGAATCGCCTACATATTGTGAGAACCAAGTGTTGCCTGGGTCACGAACATTTTCCAGCTCGTCATTCCCTCGATTTCCAAAGCAGACACCCAGCAATATATGAGCATAGTTCAAGATGGGCCGCCCGAAAATATAAATTAAACAAATAATAATAAAAAATAAAAATAGAAAAAAAAAAAAGAAAAAAGAAGAAAAAGAACACGGAGCAAAGTGACGAGCGCTGGTGGCCTAGGAACTTGTTGACATCGCGTGGATGCAGCGCGCCAAAGGCGGAGAGCGGGACGCGGGACGCGCGCGGGACGCGGGCGGCAGCCACTATGTTCGCGGAGAAAGCGGCCGCGGGCGGGAGGGAGGCGAAGGAGATTAGGGACCGATGCCACACCGTAAGCGCGGCGGCGCGGCGCGGCGCGGCGCGGCGACGCCCCAACACTCACTTCGGCTGGCCAGAAAGATCTCGATGGCCACATTCTGCAGCAGGTACCGCCGGGAGAAGATGGCGCGCACCTCCGAGAAGTACCACTTGCCGTGCAGGTGGTCGCAGTACTTGAGCACCTGAAACAAGACGAGAGCACACGTAAAGAACAGGAGAGAGAGAGAGAATTGCTGCTTTCATGAGGCGCACGCAGTGGATTTGCGCCAGATTGTCCCGTTTGAGGTTTCCTCTTGGGGAAACACGACTGTGGCCTCAGCTCGAGACCAACTGCTTGATATTTCTCAGGGTACTGTTTTTCTTAGGTTTCACATATTAGGAAGGTGTTTGTGCGCAGTAGTGCCCCAAGTAAGGTCCTCTACAGACCCGCGAAGGATGGGCCGTCTCTTGCTGGCCGAGCTGCGAAAGACAGGCAAAGCGACAAAGGCATAGTCAGGCGGCTGCTCAGCACAAAACTAGAGAGGCGGTGACATCGTTCGGCTAAAACTGTCCCTACCATGCAATGCTTTCTTTCAGACTGTTATGAAAGGTTTGTATGCTTGTTGGTAGTTACAATAAAGAGTAATATGGCTCTTGGGGTGGTCTACAAACATAAATGAAATGACAATGATTATTGTGGATAGAAATGGCCATTTCTGTAGAAGAATCCGCCTAAGAATGAGCGAAAACAAGCGAACACCACATGCAATTTAAAGATTCCCTCCGCCGCGATAGCTGTTAAGCAACGCCTCTTCGCAAAGTGTGTATGTTTGTACATGGCTCCCGTTAAGACACCATGGCTTCTCATGGTTTACAGCCGTGTATCTACATAAAAGATAAATTGATAGAACTCACACCACGGAACGTTCTCGATCACAGCTCGCCATTTAACCGCACAGGAGCAGGAAAGTCGCGCACCAGTACGCATCTCACACTCAAGACTCTGTTTTCAAATAACATAATACTTATCTCACAAAAAGTAAATTCAATGTAATGCTTATATAAAAAAACTTTTACAGAAGAGCACAATAGCACTGCACTTCTTAATTTCAATAATTTCCAGTGACGAACTATATTCTCGTCGGACGAGGACATCACAAAAGGAAGTGTCAAAGCCATTTACAAGTTAGCCAACTGCAAACGAACGAATGAAGGAAGGAAAGTCAAATGGACTGAAGGTCACAACGACCACAAAACCTTCAATTATTTTGCCAGCACTAGCTGTCAAAACGGTCCATTCATATAAAAATCGCTCTATAGATTTACGGACAGAACTAAATTGCAGGTGAGAGTCGCATGCGCCAACGAGAGTTAAGAGTAAGGAAAACTGTAGAAGAATACAATCCATAGTTAAGATACATTATGATACAATTAATTAATTAATTATAACTTCTATGTTACAGAAAAAGTGAGATTTATTCATTGACATATATTAAAAGAGTGGTACAATGCGCTTCCTTGAAAATGGGTGTCAAAAACTCTTCTATAATTAGAGGTTCGTTGGTTCTGCTACATTACTTAATGAATAGTAAAAAAGAATTCATCGTCATAACTATTTTCACATTAAAAAAACAAAAAAATGAAGCTGAAAGAAAATATTACGGTAAATTTTTAGAACGGAATTTTTCTTTATATTTGGATATATCTGACGTTAAATACAAATGTTCAAACTGTGTAGACAATGAATAATTTTAACCTTGTTTATGGGTACATATCAGATCATATTTTACAGCTTCATGTTAGGTTGGATGATGCACATTTAACCACTGTAATAAAGCATTCTTTATAGAAGAGTCACAAATCACTCGTCCGAGAAAATCGTCCATTGTTCGTAGCTACAAAACGAAACAATATAAACGATTCCACTGAGTAGTCCTCAAGGTCTGAGAAGTTGGAATCGTACGCCGAAGCATCTCGTGGCGCTATCTAGAAAGAATGACCACGTTTCGCTGCCACAAATGTTGAAAGGGTCTGGTCATAAAACCAATACTGAAAGAAAAAAAAATACCCAGGAAGGTCGGCAAGGTGCCCAGCGTGCTTGGGAGATTTCTTGTGAGAGCGTGAAGGTGCGGTGGTCCAGGGGGAGGGGGAAGGAGGTCACAGCTGGCCGTAAATTAAATGCAGCGGAAACGGGGATACTAAATGACACCGCTGGCGTCGCCATGTTTTCATTTAGCGATCCCTCCGACTAAAGCTACAGCTTCTACATTCCTCCAGACATCTTTTCGGGCCCTTCGTTCGAGGCGTTTATGCGTCACTCTGCGGTCATATTATTAATGACTAAAAAATTCGGAAAGCGAGAGATAAGATGTCTCTAGGCTTTCTACATTGCGAGTGACATTACTTCCAATCTGCCACATTCGATCTATAATACTATTTCACAGAGGACACAAACTTTTGGAAGTAAAGTAGGAGCACTGAAAAATATTGAAAACTAAACTTCTTGTGGGTATTTTCAACTATTTTCTGACCCCACTTAGTTATTTCATTTTAATTGAAAACGCTTCAATTAGAAAAAAATAATGACTTTACACTAAACACAGTGCCAATGCAAGAAAAATGGTAAAAAAACTAGCTACCTTCTATTCAAAACAAATGCATGGTAGGAAGGATAATAACGAATTGAAGCAACGAAAGAATCAGACGTTCCAGGGAGTACAGAGCGACTGGTCCGCGCAGTGCAAGCGTTGCGAGGCGGGGGCGGGGGCGGGCGGGCGGTGGGTTGGAGGGTATGCTCTCCGGGTTTATCGGCCCTAAAGCAGCGTCGCCGCGCACACAAAGCGCCGGTGCCGGGCGGGAGAGAGGGAGGGATTATACGACTGGCTGGACCATTACCGGCCCGCGCCCGCGTCTATCGCGCCCGGCCATCGGGTGCCGCTCGTGGCCGCGGGAATTAACGCGCCCCGCAATAAATACCGGCGCGTATCGCCCTGTGCACGTTCACAGCGCCTCGCTCGCAGCTCACGGCTCTGCTCGCAGCTCACGGTTCCGCTCACAGCTCACTACTTCGCTCACGGCTCCGTTCACTGTTCACGGCTCCGCTCGTAGCTCACGGCTCCGCTCATAGCTCACGACTTCGCTCACGGCTCCGCTCACTGCTCATGGCTTCGCTTGCAGCTCACGGCTCCGCTCACAACTCATGGTTCTGATCACAGCGAGCGGCCATTGCGCGATGCGACAGGTTTTCCAAACACGATGTAACATCGGTGTTTTGTCGAGCGTGCTTATTCTAGTTTCTACTCGTCATTTCCAATTGATATTCCAAAATTTGTTTCGACAAATATTGTCGTACTTATTTCATCAAAATACTTTTTATTAACATTAACAAAATGTAGATACTAAATTCTTATTAATAGTTCTATGTGTCAGAGTGGACACTTCAGGAAAGAAACGTTTGAGTGATTATGAAGAATTTTCTACCCTTTCAATGTACAAAATTATCAACTTACCTGTGAATTAAGGTCGTTTTGAATTGTAATTCTAACACTATAAACATTTATTTAAAAAAGTGATTTTGTGAGTTTGCACAATATTGAAACAAAATATTTTATTATTGATTATTTTGGGTCTTAAATTTACTTAATTACTTCCTAGCAGCTACGTTCGCATGCATTAAAGAGCAAGAAGTCGACGCTCTAGCACACGAACTTCCGTAATAATGTGCGAATCAGAAATGTCCGTCAATACAAGAAACTGCAAGCGAAAACGAATAGCTTGGGAAGGAGGAAGGAAAATCCATCGTTTGTGACGCGTGTTGCAGAGAACCTTGTGATCGCACGGCCCAGTGCCAGAGACCACCTCCCTGCAGCAACGACCCCGGCACATTTCATCTCACGCCGGCAGGATGCCACATGTGGAGGAGAGGCGAAATATCATCTCGCTAGTCGCGGGAAACTGCGAGAGTGCAAAGAAGCTGCAGACGGCTCGCACGACAGCGCAGGAGGTGACGAGTTGCACGTTATACTAGCGGTGGCAGCGACAGCATCGGAACTGCGATTGCGACAGCACGAGGGTCAATGCTGAAGATGCGATGTAATTACACTCTGTCGAAGGTCAGGATTCGTAAATATAGCTATGGGGTTGCGTTACGTTATAGCTGTGTGCTCAGAGGAGGAGGTTGCTGAAAATGTAGAAATTGAACGCGTACCCTAAAGTAATATAACATTTTATTACATTAAATATGTGCAATCAGTAATTTTCTCCCTTTTTTTACTTTCTCGATGCAGCTTGCGCAGTAAAGAGAAATTTATGTATTGGTGCTCGAAAAAAAAAAACGCAAATTTTTCGGCAGAAAACTCTTGTTTCTGGGCCGTGGTAAGGAAAACGTGCATAATCCACTTGCTCAATTTAGAAAAAATCTCTATCACGTGGTGTAGCCAGAATCCATGTTATGTGGGTCTTTGATAGCGAAAAATCGAATGGCGGCAAAACGCCTGCCTGTCCGTCAGTCTGTGAATAACGCTAGCGTCTTATTAGATTTTTTTTTCCAAATTTGATATTCCTCTAACTATCTGGCTGATGTCGCGGTCCCATGAATTTACTATTTTACATGAAAAGGGGGTATTTTACATAAAGCGCCCGGGACATTTTCAAAACAAATGGCGCCAGCGTTTTATATTCATTTATTGTTAAACATTGCGAAGGACGTTTAAGAGTGGTGCAGCTCTCATGTTCGTTACAAACCCTATTTTTCGAAAATTATAAAAATTCAAAATTTTTCCGGCGTTTTCCTTCAACTACAATTATGAAGTTAGAGATTTTTCCCGTAAAGAAATCTCTTCTTTAAAGATAGATTTTGAAATACGGCCGTGTACAATTTTTCGAAAATATGAGTACCTTTCGCGTAATTTTTGTGTGAAAGTACGGGTGAGAAAGTCGCTTTAGCACCAGCAGTTGTTGTTTTTTTTTGTCTGACAATTTGGAAAATTGTTATACACTTAGGCAAAGGGTTCTCCAAGAAATCTACGAGCCCTGTAGATTGTTGTATTAAATTGCAAAAAATCTGTTTCATTTATTATTTGTAAAAATTAAATTATTATTTAATTGTCCTCGTATTATTCTTTACTAATTTTTAGTACAATGTGTCACGTATAAATAAAAAAGTTCCAATGCAAAAGGGGGTCCAGCAATGTAGTCGGTGTCCCCTTTTGCCTCCGGTGGCGCTAGAGCAGACGCGCCAGGGCGACGGTGCTTCGGCAAAGCAGCTGAAGAGCGACGAGCGAGCGCGCGCGCGCGCGGGGTGGGAGGAGGCGACGGCCGAACTGCGCATCAAAGGCGCCGCTCGTTAGCGGCGGACTGACAAAAACGCGCGGCTCGCCGCCAATTGCCGCCATGATAACACACGGATCGCTCTATTGCCGCCCACTGACGCGCGCAGGCCTCTGCGACGGAAATACACGAGCGCGGCCGGCAGCGACGGCGCGGCCGAGCGCTCGCCCGCAGGCCTCGCGCTTCCAGCCCCGGCCGCGCAACATTTACGACACTTGCGACGAAGCGGGGCCAAATTTAATGGCTGTCACGGGGAGAATGCGCGATCTTTCCTTCCTCATCCTTGTCTCCTATCTCTCTCTCCAACACACACACACACCTAATTGCACTGTACTATACACATGTCGGAAGATTAGTTGGGAGCTTAGAGCTTCTCTCGAGCGGGGCGGTGCCTCGCTGGAGGAAATACCCATGTATGTAATATGTATGTATATAGTATATATGTAGTATGTATGCTGTATGTATGTTGAATGTATATATGTAGTATGTATGCAGTATGTATGTAGTATGTATGTACGTAGTATGTATGTTCGTAGTATGTATATAATATGTATGCATGATGTATATACGTAGTATGTTTGTAGTATGTGTGATATATGTATGTACTATGTAGTAGTAGTATGTAGATATGTAGTATGTTTGTACGTATGTACGTACGTATGCATGCATGTATGTACTGTACAAATGGCATAAATAAAAATGTCCTTTTTTTAAACTCGAATTTCCATTTTTATATTGAAATAGTCATATATATCTATATTGGAATAGTCATCTCTACCTCACACATTGTATTTTGAGTATTTTTTTAGATGTGCGGTAATTGATAAGAACCAATTATTCGCGTAGAGCGAGAAGAAAATGTCGAAAGAGGTGACGTTGGCAGCGAACCATGTCAGCAATTATATGCGTTAACAGAAATCACTTGTACACATTCGCTTTTAAGGTTCCCAGACTGGCCTGTGCCACGTTAAAACTATCAGTCGTGTTGAGCGTGATTGCTAAGTCATCAAATATTGGAAAATTCGGCACGTTACACTAGGAATTACATAAGTTTCAAATTGTGTCGTATGTAAAGCTTTCGCAGAAACACGAATAAAGTTCTCAAGATGCTGATTCGTTGGCGGAGATCTCTAAGGCAGTAGTGCCGTAGCGTTCTCGGACCGAAGGATCGCGTGTTCGAGTCCCGCCTCGGGCATGGTTGTATTGTGTTCGTCCTTTCACACCCCTATCATTATATCACGTAAAAAAATCTCAAGATGAAATATCCGCTACTCTTTACTGTGTCTGAAAATCTCAGTATGTTCGGAAATTGTGAATATATTTGTCGCCGGTTGCCCGGAGAGGAGATTATTGTCTTTTTTTCAGTATCTCTCTGGGAATATTTGGCCGTTGCATCGAAAAACTCGACAGTGAGGAAAGGTCACAGTTACGATCAAACACGACAGGGTATTATGATTTGTGAAGAAAAAAAACCTATGAAATATGTTCATGCGATATACATATATTGGATACGTAAGAACACACTTACATTAGACATAACACAAAATGTAAAAGTATACTCATGTAGTCAACATAGCCCCCATATACGAAGGAGACACGCCGCACGCAATGTGAAATTCCATACCCACCAATTAGCTGGTGTTGAAGCATAACGTGTGAGACACGCACACACGCGTCTACACAACATGGTTCAAATTGGCCAAAGACCCCTTCACACGCACGACTACATCGTACCTAAACTGTGTCACATACTTGCGTTCCTCCACGTAATTATTCGGGTGTCAGGTGCGGGCAGATAGAAGCAGTGAAAGCCCACGTCGGCAAAGGGGCGCGTTAACACAACTCGCTCGCGCATCAAAGTGCAGAATGTACGCGTTGTGTGGGGAAACGCCTTTTTGAGGACATTCTCTACACTGTTGTTGAACGGATGTATGTTGAAGAACGGATATTTCTCTAATTCACGAAACATTAGGCAGGCTACATATCAACGCATTGGCACACTTGTAAAGGACGGACACGCGTCTATCGTTCCTCTTAGCGAGGTAGCGACTCATCTCCCGAGGTATGTACCCTGATGTCAGTGATACGTTCACACGGCCGCACGCCGCAACTGACGTGAATCAAAGGGCCGAACACGGCCTCTGTACACGGTGCAGTCTCGGGCAAATTTGTATTCCCTACTTCTAAGAAAACAACCCCGTTTTCTGCGTTCATATTACGCTTATTCTCAAAAATCGTATTATGTTCTTGTTCGTCGTGATAAGGTGCATACGGTAGTGGCTTCTTGCACGTCGAAGCGTGGTCACGTGGAAGATTAATAACTTTCTCATTTTCCCAGGACGAGAAGAAGGATTTTACAGCAAATCATCGCATGATGTGAGGACTATCTACGAAATGAATTAATGCGCTAAAATATAATTTCCCCGCTGCACCACTGCAGTAATGATCGATAAGAAGGAGGAGAAGAAGCATTTTATAGCAAATCATCGCAAGATGTGAGGTGTATCTACGAGATGAATTAACGTGCTAAAAATATAATTTCCCCGCTGCACCAGCGCAGTAATGGTCGAGTAGTTTTCAGGCGAGACATCATTCACAGGCTCAGCGAAGCCTGTGCCGCCCCCTAGGCCGAGGGGGCGAAATGCGCACGTAATGTTTCTTTAATGCGGGGGCGGGAGGGGGGAGGGATGATAGAGGAGGGAGGAGGGGGAGGCGGAGGAGGAGGGGGGTGTGGCGCCCCGCGCCGGCGCCACAAGACGCCCCGCGCTTCGACTCCTCGGCGCCGGCGCCAAATGGCGGTGCGCGTGCGCGCGTCGCGCGGGCTGCGTCGCCAGGGCCAGCCGCTTCCGGCGCGAGCAAGCATCCACCACGCGCGTTCGCGCGCGCCATCTTGGCGAGCAGCAGACATCGACCCGCGGCGCGCTCGCGGCGGCGGCGGCGGCGGCGGCGGACGTGGAAATAGCACCGGTTTGCGCGACGGCGCCGTATAACCATCCCCGGCCTCGGGACTGCAGGAATTGCCCGGAGACTGCAACGCTGTCGATGTTAACGTTCCAATTCCCAGGTGACGGGAAAGTGAACTCCCCGCGTGAAAAGGCGATGGCGGTGCGGGAGGTTTTCGGTCGACGCGGCTCTACGTAACGGGTACAGCACAGAAGTCACTCAATAACCCGGAAAACGGTTCACGCTGACACTGGTAACGACGATTCAACCTCTTCCCTGCGCTGAAACGCGGGCGTTTTGTGTCAGCACCGCTTCGGGAGGCGGTTCTCGAGAACCGGCGCGCTTAAGGAAACCGGTCTGTGTTTTGGAAGCGAAACTGGACGTAAAATAAAGAAAACATCCTTCGATCGGTCTTATTTATCTTCGTTGTTCCTCCCCTTGTCTTGGCATTCGACAAGGGGAACGAGTTTCTGGTGTATTTGAGTCCAATGCTACTCTGCTGTGCCATGATCTCCTTTCGAAATCTGCAACAGTTATGTGCGAAGATACTACATATTTATAAGGGTGGATGTATGCGAGGCGAACATTTATTGACAGTACAATGGACGTAATAGAGTTCATGTTTTTTACTTTCCTAGTGATCGGAAAATGTTTCCACATTTTGTAATGTTCTTCATTACTCATACGGAATTGCATTACAGCCAATACTCATATACAACTAACAAGCACGTATAGGAACGAAAATAATTTACTTAATCGTCAAGGATAACCTCTTACAAACTACTGTGCAGTTCACAGTATCCAAGGGAGACACCACTTCGTATAACGAGTTTTCTATTTTGACAGGAACACCAACAATACATATAAAAATTGAACCAAACTAAATATTTTTTTAATAACTCATAATGACCCCTAGTTGGCTTATTTACAACACAATGAAATTTTCACATTTTTGTTTAATTACATTCTTCCCTTAACACGTTTCGACAACTTTCATACGCTGTCATCTTCATGTTTCTTTTTGTATATTAATATACCAAAATCGACACTGTTTAAATGGATTTGATTGGCCAAGAGAAATAAAACTTTTTATTCAAATTAAAGAATGTTTTAAAAAAATCTTCGCAGTGCATTCGTTCGCACCGCGCATTGCACAGCGCGCGTCCCCTCTCTCAAGACGCGTGGGCCCAGAGGCTGCGAGCCAAAGGACAATGGACGGTGTCGCAGCCCGCGAGGCCATGTTGTAGGCGGCGGCGGCGGCGGCGGCTGCGCGACGCGGCGCGACACGGTGCGGGGTAGAACCAGTTTCCCCGGGCGCAGCGGCTTATCGCTCCATCGGGGGGGCCGAACCCGCTGAAATACGATCGACTCCGTCACAAACCCGGCGCTCCGCCCATCAACAAGTCGGCCGGCCGGCCGGCCGCCCGCCTGCCGCTGCCCCCTTGCTCAGGTTACCGCCCTTTGTGGCGCTTTCCGCGCCAGGCCCAGCCCAGCCCAGCCCAGCCCAGCCCTGCCCTGCTCTGCTCCGCCCTGGCCTCGCCTCGTCACACGCACCCTCCGCCCCAGGGGCGTAGGAAGGCCACGATCCCACCTCTCCCACGACACTCGGCGGTCGGGAAGCCACTGGGGGCGCGATTGGAACATTAAGGCCCGTTCACAATGCGAACATAAGCATTAGCATGGCGTTAACATAAAAGTTTGAGCGGGCTCATTCACAACGCGTCCGCATAAGCACAACACGTAAGGCGGTAACTTAAAAGCTTGAAAGCTTCAAGCTTCTGTGCTTATGCTGAAGTACGACATAAGAAATTAACCAATCACAGAACGGTAACTCAAAATCGAGAATCGAAATTGGAGCGAAGTCGATAGAAGAACTAACGCCATATGGACCAGGGACACAGTCGTTACCTGGAAATAGATTCTCACATCGAACCAATAGTAAACCAGAATGTCTTACAGCCAATACAAACTCTTATTATGCTTACGTTTATGTTAGAAATTGTGAATACCTCAGTCTATCACTTATGTTAATGTTTATGTCCATGCGCTATGCTTATGTTTACATTTCCATTGTGAATGGGTCGTTACAGCGAAGGCCCGCTGTACAGTGGTAATAGAAAACGGTATTCACGGATACCTACATCGTGGAGAAGAAAACTGCGTAAGCGAGATCACATACAAAAACTTACAACATATGCGAAGTACAATCATTTTCTAGTTCTTTAAAATATTCTTACAAGGCATAATCACGGCGGGTTTCGACGTAAAAACCACACTTTATAAAAAATTGCGGATTCTACTAATATTCAGTTAATAGATAATTTATTTTTGAAATTTTCGGTTCTCAGCAGATAGATGCACGAGCTGGTTGGACAATTAACGTAATCATTCTGTTGTAACTTTGATACAAGACTCGGGAATTAATTAAATTATATATGATAATTTTCTATTATACACTGATAAACCATAAATAAGTGTGCTATAAAGTGTGGTCGTTCACAATCTGTGGCGGTTATCTACTAAATAATTACAATTCGAAGGCAATTCAACTGGGGCAGGATCAATGAACACAGCACATAGGGATTCAGACTCCACAGAAGCGTATGTTGCATATTCACATCAATGGCTTTTCCTTTTTTGTAACGCAGGGTTTCGTTACTATAGAAAATTTGAGATTGTCACAATCTGAATTAAATAATTCTTAGGTTCAAGTCTCGATGGTGGCGGGATTTCGACAGCAGCTGTATACAGCTAGCTCCAATTCAGACGTTCTCTGGAGCACAATTCTAGTGCTCGGCTGCTGTAATCGGTATCGAAACTTGCACACTAGCGTTACATATTAAAACACTTTATGATGACACATATATCATGTGTGTGTGAACTTCAACATAAAGTACCCCAACAACATGAACTACGTTTATATTGTGGGTAGGAAATTAGTGACGCTTCTCCCAACAACGGCCCTCGTGAAAGCATTGTCCGCGCGCCACCTGAGAGAGCGGGCGAGAGCAGCGCTGGGAACACGCCCTGGGCGACCTGCGCGGGGGCGGGGGCGAGCGAGTGATGACGCGTGCTGGTGCGTGCGGCGGCGGCGGCGCGGAGACGCGTGTGGGAATCCACCGCGTGCGAGTTATGGCGTCCAGGTGCGCGGGACGCTCGTCATAAATAAGGCAATGGACGGCGGGCGGGGCGGGCGCGGGAGGAGAATTAATGCGGAGGCCGCTGACGCACATTGTCTTGCGCGCCGCCGCCGCCCGACAACCCGGATGCTGGCGGCGCCACGGCCCGTGGCGTGCCGCGCCGCGTCGCATATGGCGCGGCGCTCAAGGACGCGCGAATCGCTGCCATGGGGCGGCTTTTAGGGCGTTTAGGAGCCACGCTCCATCCGGCAAGTGGGCGCAACAATGGCAGGCAACTGCATGGCACCGCGGGTGCCTGTGACCCGAAGGTCCTATGATTCCACTCCCGAGGACGGCAGTGATTTTCGGCACTAGCCAGACAAGCTAGGTCGCGTTCTGTCGCTGTCGGGGGGGGGGGGGAAGGATTTCTTAGCGGCCCACTGGCCCGATTGGTCGCTTTCCAACGTTTTTCTCCGATCAACACCAGCGAATAACTCTAATGTAAGCGATTAAGCCAGCGTGCCTCATGGCAATCTATTGGGGAGCTTTGGGTAGAAGGAATTTAGCCTCGGCCACAGGAAGAAGGGTTTTCCGTCAAGGGGAAGAACGCGGAAACGGGAAACACAAGGTTTTGGCGTCTTCCGGCTATAGAAGCTTTTCACTGTTAATAACCAAGCGGAGGGGGTGGCGGACGTAGTAGGTCCACGTGGGCCTGCGCCTATATAACAGAGTGTACGGAAGCCCAGTAGGTAGGTTTCTGGAGACGGTGGGAAGAACCTCGTGCGTGTGCCACAAAACTTGGCGCTGGCTCAACGACGGTGCAATATGCGAAGCCCGATCTCCGCGAGGCTTCGGGGTCACCTAGTATGACGGAAGCCTGCGGACGTTAGGTCCTTTGGTGACTGCGGTCACGGGGGAGCGATTGCTGTGTGCGTTGCTCCGAAGTGAAGAGTGGTTTTGAGTGCCAACGATTCACGCGCGATTCTCAATCGGATAAGGATCGCTCCTGCGATCGAGGCAAACCAGCCGTTGTGCGCTCAGAACGTATTTGTGTCCCAGCGTGACATCACGGGTCACGAAGCCCTAAGGCTTGTGCGCGCTTCATCAAAAAGAGGAGTGCGAATCCACAATCAAAATCCATCTTCAATCGGT